ATATAGGTTCCTGCGATAAATGATTTATAAAAATTTGAAATAGAAGATGCAATATATTGAAATACTAAAGGAAAAGTATCAAGGCTGTTCCACATTGGATTTAATAATGGTCTTAAAAGTGTAGTATACTGTGGTCGGTGCTTTCTTTTTTTATGGTTTATAGAAATAAAGGCAACAAAATTTTTGTATATTCTCTCTTTTATACTATTAAAATACGAATAAAGTTGTTCCTCAATAATATCTCCACTTATTCTATTATTAAAATATGGATCAAGATTATCCTTTTTAGGGATATCAACTATATCCTTAATAAAGTCGTACTTTGGCCAACAACGTGATTCGATAGTTTGATTCATCTTATAAATAATATATAATTTTCTTGCAACTTTTGGCCAATTAATTTCATTCCAATTCCAATCAACCTTAGTATCTTTTGCTGAGCATCGAATGATTAGTGCTTTTGCCATATATTTTAAAAAATTTTTAATTGTGATCGGATTTGAAAGAGTTTGCATATATCCTTGCAATAGAGCTGCTTTCTTAAATATTTCAAAATTAGTAAAGTTAAGCATTATTTCGAAATCAGCTTCAATGTCAATAGCTGTTTTATCATAAAGACCTTTAAAATCAAATTGCCCACCATAATATAAAATTACCATCAAAGCAAATTGTTGATGTACGTATTTGGGTGGATTAACGTAAGTTCCTGTAACTATTGAATTAATTCTTGACCCATGCTTAGGTACTTGAAAAATATCAATAGATGGTCGCTCATCTGGTTGTTCCTGATTTAGCTTTGTGATTAATACATTTTGTACCCATGAAGCGACATTATCACTCGTAAGGAAAATTGATTTCTTAATATCGTTGTTGATATATTGTAAATATGTGAGTATACTCGACAGATCTGTTTGAATTTCTGCGTTATTTCTCATCATTGAATTATTTTTCACACTATCGCAATAGCCTATTGCATTTGCGTCTTGTTCAACGCTTTTATTATGTTTTAAAATTAAAGGTTTCACATTTTCATTAAAAAAGAATTCCATAAATTTATTCTGATATTTAAATTTTGGATCATTGTTATAAAATTCAAATCCATTTTCTCTTAGGATATTGAAAATCTGTTTATTTCTAAACCCTTCAGTAAGAATAACATGAAAATCAAGGTTTGGAAAATCTTTAGCATGAATACCTTTAGGTGAAAAAAATTCCTTGAAAAACCTAGTTATGGCATCATAATAGTTTTTACGTGGGCTAGTGATAATAAATCCTTTAAAATTCGTTATTTTACGTTTCGAAACCGCAGCTTTAAAATATTGATAAGATGGAAAGCGAGCAGATCCACTGTCAATTTGCCAGTTACAGGTTTCATCGATTTTAAGAATAAAACAATCACTATCATTCTCAGTACGAATAAAATATAATACTGGACTGATAACGGACATGATTTATGACTCTAATAAAACTAACGTCTAGCACGTTAAGTATAATGTTATTAATTGAAAGCTCTGAAACTTATAGAATATTTGAATCTTATATACAGT